ATCAGGAATTGAGCCAATTTCATCATCGTATGGCGTAAAAGGCCTCAGAGGAGCTACAAAATGATCCGCAACACTTACCAATGAGTTATCTTGTCTTTTCATAGGTGCCAGGAAAGAGTTCGACCCTCCGTGGTACATGAAAGTCGAAGGTTCATACAGCAGCAGAGGCGTTTGTCTCTTCGACGGAGGGAATCGAGATTGCGTCAGCGGAAAGCTTATAGCCTGTGGGGCCGATGACATTATTCCCAGTGTGCTTGAAGATCTGTTAAAGAGATTAGGATCCACATTGGATAGTTCAGGCTCAGGTGTTTGTTGAAAGGGCAGCGAAGCCTGGATATCAGGCATGTGAAAACCGTTTGTTAGAAAATCGGCAGGTCTGGCAGACAATGAGTGAGGAAATGCTGGTCTGTTTGCGTGGGACGATGCTGGCTCATGAGTTGATTCTATATCAAACGTTTTTGGAGGTCCGGAAAATTGGAACAGTTTGCTTATATCCTCTATGTTCTCCTGGTTCGTGGCTTCTTCGAATACAGAAGGGTCCAGAAGGAAGGCGAAGCTATTGTTGGTCTCACCTAAAGCTGTGGGTTGAACTGCAGTACTTTTTAAAGCAGCAGAGAGATTGGAATGTAGCTGGTTGTGTGTTGCTTCTGGTAAACCTGAGCCTTGCAGAGCAGATAAAAATGGCAGCATGGGAGCTGGGCGCTTTCGAGACTGTTGAGTGTTACTCATGCGGCGGATATGTGCAACATAATCGAAATCATCCTTTCGAGCATCCTGGGAAGAAGGTGCTTCTTCATAGCCAATATGTCCTAGTAACGTGTTGGAGGAAAATGAGTCGAGGTCATGGCTCGTGCGAATGTTGATTTTCTCTTGCTGAAGTCTTTTGTTTTTGACATACATCATTCTCCACACAAGATTCTCCATTCGAGACTTGTACGGAATAAGATTTTTGGCGTTCTTATACATGTGCCAGAGCTGCACCGACAGCTCTATCAGGTCTAGGTCCAAGTCAATGGGATCCATGAAAGTACTTATGGCAGAGGCTCGATGCAAGGAATATGATATTGGCAGGTCTTCTCTAATGGTGCTGTCTTCGATCTTGACCTTGGTGAACTGGTAAGACCAGATGGTTGAGTTATGTCAGAAATCGCGTTATCAAAGAGAGATGATGAGAAATGTTTTTCTTTTCTGAGAAACTCGTGATTTTCGAGTCCTCTTGAAGTTTCGGAGTTGTTTGTCAAAAACTTCACAAGGTGGCGGGCTCGGATAATTTGTTCTGTGCGATGCAGAAAATGGTCGAAGAGATGTCAATACCCTAGGAGCCAAATGTGAGAAGTCCATCACGCAGATACACTTGCGTACGAGATTGGCACAAGAGCTGTGCGTCTCGCCTGGTGTGCAGTCTTATCTATAGTAGACCAGCCATATAATTGGTCAGATAGCACCACGCAGATCAACCTTGTGGAATATGATACAGGACGTTACTGAAGATTTGGCCGCTCATAAACGAACGCATGCGAAGCACGACCCGGAGTTAGCACCGTGCTTAAAGAGTCTCTCACAAAAGTTTTAAACTTTAGGTCATTTCCTCGTGTATTTTGATGGTTTTTTTCTTGTGCTTTACTTGTTTTGAGTAGTCTTTCGAATCAAAGCCCAAACCAACAAAAAATACCCTAAAGCTCCACTTAACCTATGAAATAGAATATATCCGTCAGAAGTAAACGAGTCTTGTCGTTAAAACCTAGCCCAGGAGTTGGCTTCTTCGGGAATTTAGACACGTCCCGAGATAACCCGGGTTACCCGCGGCTGAACTTTTTTATCCTGCACAATATTATCAAATGGGCTAGCGTGTTATTGGCCATACCTCAAGTTTTCCAGACATTTCATTTCTTTCACTCTGGTTTATACTCAGAAGGCGAAAATTGTGCATCTAAATGGTATTAATTCAATCCTGTTGTCTTGCAGCTGTTGTCAGTCTTCTATATTGAATAACACAGCAAGTACTGTTGTGCCATTGTTTGGATATGGAAATCAACTTCCATCAGAAGATTTGCTAATCATGAATTTGACAACTTCTTTCCAATGAAGCCATGACTATGGATGGTGAAATTAACATTTATTTGGACAACCGGACGGATTCGTGGTCCGTCCGTTCTATGAGTTGTTTGGTGTTTCTGCTGCCGCAGTTCATAATCCCTGCAATTTTCCAGGGTATTTTCCAAAACTCAGCAGGATGAATCTTTATCAGTTTTGATTTAGAAACCAAAGAGAACCAATTTTGTAAGGACCTTAAATATTGAGAGAAATTGCTTGTGAGACTGTCCGCGAGTAACTAATATTAACTCATATAACATGATACATTTACCCCAACTTAGAGAAGCCCATTGTGAACCACATTCAGAACCGAGATACTCACAAATTTGACAGTGTTAGAAATTCTCTGAGTTTCTTAGTATCTATAAGCTCTTTTTGGCGATCGTGGATTTGTTTTATAGACATCGAAAAACAATCAAGAATCCATTGACGCTTATCGTGAACTTTCCTGCACCCCTTATCTACGTTTTTCTTCGACATTATTAACACATTCTTTAAGCCAGAGACTGTAGCCTTTCGCTTGGAGTCCTTCCTCAGTTACTAAAGCTGCAAATGAAGCTTGATAAGAGTGAGATTGAACCGTTCAAACATACTTGATGTGGTGAAAGACTGTCGAAAACACAGACATATACCAATTTCTATTTTGGATCAATAAGTTTCGAGACACACAGAACTGTATGGGATTGATATTTGAAGTAAGACTACAAATAACTTTAGAAAAGCATGTCTGGTTCTTTGCATTTTGTCTAGTAGGTCTGTTGCGCTTTTGAGGTATGTACTTCCGATTTTAGGCTGTGGTGTGTAATAATGCCAAGACATGTCACTGGATGTTTCAACAATTCAAAACTTTGTTAGAATTTACAAATGATGACTGGGGGCGACATTTTGTTTTCTAAATTCATCTATTTTTTGTTTGTGCTGGTTGCTGGGCGACAAGTTGCAAAAGTACGACTGCACCAAAAGGAGCAAAACGCACTCAAAAGCCCTGCGTCTTCGTTGTGAGGACTTATCCGCTTTCGGCGCTGCAATTTTTCGCGCGATACACAACAACAAACCAATGCCGTACGGCTCAAGGGAGACGCACCAAAAGCTATAAAAACTTGATTCTACTAGCTGGCGGCTCAAAAGTTTGTGACACTGAACATTAGCGAAACATTACACAGAATATACTTAGTCTGATGAGTCTTAGACCGTGTTAGGAGGAAATAATATGATTGCTTGCGTCGTGCGATACCCATTTCCGCGCATTTGACCTCCTTCGCACTAAGTCGCACAATCGCCGCCCGTGTGTCCTCCACTGTTTGCCGTCACGGGTTTTTCCTCCGCCTTCCACCGTTATACCTATTTTTCTCCTTCCCCAGCTCACTTACGTCACGAACAAAAAAGATTAAATAGGAACACACGATTTTGCAAATAAGAGTGTTTATTTCAAGGCTTCGCCTCACTCAAACTTCGCATCAACTTCAAACCCCATTTCTTCTTGGTCGCCTCAATTTATTGTTCTATTTTCACGTGTCCATATCCTTCATCCCCGCGGCTGACGAACTTTCAGGGAGACCGAAATTTTCAGCGAATTATCCATTCTTTTTCCAGCGGTAAACAACCCGTTTTTTTTTTCGACGAGCCGTCTGTCTCCTACCCGGCTCAACGGTTGGCTCCTTTCAGCTTCAAAAGGAAATTAGTCAACACTCAGTGCAACAAGTCTTCCGGGAAGCACACCGAATCGTTGTTGTGCAGAAGAGGATCGATTTAAAGTCGAAGAAGATACCTGTGTGTTCTTTGATGCTAATTCTTGCCTGATTGTGCATAATCGTCAAATACCCTGATTCTCTGATCCTTATATCCTTTCCGAGTTGATCATGGCTGCAAGTCTCACGGAAATGTATCCCAAAAGAAAAATGGAAGACATCACCAACCGGCAGAAGAAAGCGAAGCTAGATTCCAAGCCGTTCTATCCTCCCACACAGGAGAGACTGCCCTCCCCATCATCGCCATCAACCTCTCTGTCTCCTCAAAGACCTCATCAGCGTCAGAAGTCTGTGCTGTTCGAACTCTCCCGCAACGAGCATTTTGAGTGTCCTCTTTTGACTCCAAGAGACGAGGACTATGACCTTGACTCAGACCATATCGAGGAAAAGTCCCAAGAAATCAGCTTGGGCGCCCTTGACTCTAATATTGATTACGTTGCCTTGGGTTCGACTGCTTCACTCTTAGACTTGACCAAAGAGCATATCGAGACAGAGATCACAGAGCTAGCCTCTCTAAGGACACAGGCTCAGAAGGCTTCCAAGCTGGACTTGGTGGACTTCTATATCCGGCTCATTTACGATAAGCAACCCTTGCCCGCACAGCATACGATTGTGAGGGCACCCACTATCGATTGGGCTAAGTATGAGGAGGGGCTTGCAAATGTCTCTCTTCATCATGACTGTACGAACGATGAAGAAAACCCTGTATTTCAGACAATGAACATGTTTGGTTCAGCGTCGAAAAATTAATTCCCACGAAACTTGTGTATACTATCATTTCAAGCTTGCTTCACTGGAGTCTAGCCTCATAAAACATAAAATAATAAAAAATTGAAAACTTCGAAAACGACCTGGCTGGATTGTACTTTGCTAATTATGCTTACCCGCCCACCTAATTCTATCTTCTGTCTTCCTCCTCCAGATCCGTCACCAAAAACGCGTCAGAGCTCACAGGCACATCTGAGTTTAAAGGTTGCCACCTGGTATCTTGGTCTTTCTTCTCGACGCGACGAGGCAATCTTGGTTGATCTTTATCGTCTAAGTCCACTTTTCTGCTGAAGTCCAGCGATAAAATCTCTGGATCTTCGTCAAATTTATGAGGGCTTTTTTTTGCGGAAGAATTGAACGAGGAGCCCCCTAAAGCACCAAAAAGCTTGGGATTCGAGTTCAGCCCAGCTGAAGAGGAGCTGCCGTCGCCATCCTGGGAAAACTTCTTGCTAAGTCCAGAGACCCAACTGTTGATGGTAGTTTTAGCCTCCTCAAAACCCTGTGAAAACTGTTCCTTCAACTGATCAATTTCGTCTGGCGACTCGTTTTCCTCTTCATGGTTCGCACCAGAATGCCTTGGACGAGACTTAGATGCTGCGTGTCTCCGTCTGCGTTCCTCTCTGTCGAACTCCTTCTGTAATTGACGCGCCAAAAGCTCGTCGTCCGTGTACTGCGGTTTTTCCTTGATAACAGGTTTTGCAGCAGTGACAACGGGTTCAGGTTCGAAGGAAGGATCCAGTAAGAAGAGCAATGCATTGAAAGCAGGGTCCATGCGTCCTTCAGAAGCAATCAAAAATGCATGGATGTATTTATCCTCGATCTGGGGGAATGCATCCTTCAAATCACGTTTCATCTGCGCCATGGGAGACTCAGGGCGCTTAGGACGGGGAGGAGCTTCTGTATCGTCGACAGGGGTCAGAGCTGAGGCGCTTGCGGGTTTGCCTTGCGCGTCTGCTTTTGAGGAATCTTGGGCTGAGTCAGTAGATGGGGATTTACCCGCCGAGGATGATTCGGTCTTCTCAGGGACTGTTTTACTAGAATCCCCCTTTTTCGAGGTTGTTTGTGGTTTGATCTCATCATCCACAGAGACTTCCTCAAGCTCATCTGAATTAGTTTCTCCTGTCGGATTGGTCAGTTCTTGGCCAGCCTTCAGGTCTGTAGCGATGTCAGCGGCATCCGCTTGATGGGAATTGATTTTTTGGGCGGCAGAGTTCGAAGTAGTGTTCTCAGGAGCGACGGGCTCAGATGAGGCAACAGAAAGAGTTTCTTTGGCCATGTTAAGACGTGAGGAGAGAAATGTATAATTGCCAGTTGAAACAGCAACGCACAGCCTTCACATTGTGTTAAAGCGCGGGGGCGGGGGTAGGCAATTTGTCGTGCGAGATCCACAAACGTGACTTGAGTCACATGATTCTACTCGCGGGTATATAGGCATCGTTTCGAGGAACCACTTGAAGAATTTTCTCTTCATTGATAGTAAATTTTTTTCTCCGAACATATGCTAGAGCTTTAAATCATTACACCATTGATTTCAGAGTGTGGACAGCGGAGGCAGAGTTAATTCCACTGATTTTGCGGCTCGCTGTGCTTGGCTCTTTGCAGTCCTGCGCCAGAGCCGTTGATTCAGATATCTCATTCCTTTTACCGTAGATATGCTGTAATAATAGAAAATCTTAGTAGGATACAGAAAAGCTTGATATCACAAATTTTGGCAGCTCGCAGGCTTCACAATTACCATGAGTTCAATTCTTTTTGAGCAAAAGTGTTCGAACATTCGATTCGGGTGGACATGGAACTGAAATTCAATCCTTCTCTGGATTCTGTTACCTGCAAAATGACATTCACTGGTCAGCGGGATTGAGGCCTTTCTTGATTCATTGACCTAGTCCGTTTCGGTCATTCTTTCTTAGAATCTTGTACGACAAGACCAAAAGTACTGGCCTGCTTTCATGAAGCAACAATCAGTGAAGCATTTCCGAGAACCTTTGTCTTTCGGAACCCTTAAAACTGAGAGAAGAGCCTCAAATGAGAGATGGTCACACTTACAAAGCGGTCACCAATAGACCTGGTTATTTCTGAAACTAAGGCTTTTATTCTAAGTATACAGCCTTACAAATGCAGTTTTGAGGCCCCGTGGGCCTGCTCAAGCGTCGTTAGATCTCAATTTTTCCTTAACCTCCTTTAATTCTTGCTTTCTTCTGCTCAAATCCAAGGCCTCACATTCTTCCCAAATGTGTTTGTCATGATGACAGTCTATAGATGAGTTTGCGCTTTGTCTAATAAGACATGTTTGGAAAAGGGCGAAGTACGCAGCGCATCTATCCCTCCATTTCAATGGAACCTTATATTTCTGGAAATCTTGTTCCGAAACTAATAGTTAGTCCTTGAAACTCTTGTGAATCTCGGCTTTTAAACCACAGAATGTACATCTTTTCTTGCGTCGGAGAATCCTGGCAAAGAATTATCGCAACCGGCAACACATGAATAATTTAGCGAGAGATGGTTTACTACGGGGTTTCAGAAACGTCATGATACATACGAAGCGGAGGAAACTCGGTCAAAGCCATTGTTTGGTTGATGAACTGATGTATGCTATTCACACCGAGATTTTCGAAAGTTGGCCAATGGGAGGTACTGCGTTTGCGAAGGCTTCTCATACAGGCTTCACCAACGGGCAACTTTCTACGGCAAAAGGATCGATGAAGAGTGACGACAACATTGGATTGTAGGTTTCCATGTGAAATCGAGTGTATTTTTCAAAGAAGCATGATTTTCTTAATATCTAAATTCCCTATCGATTCTGTTTGGCTCAAGAAAACCTTTGTACATGCCTTTTTGTCGAGCTCGCGAATCGGAGGTCTCATGACACGGACGCCCAAGATCTTTTCAAACTGGAATTAAGTAACCTTACACTGATGATATCATCTCAGTATTGTAGTTATCCCGAGTATTCACACAGCTGTTCAAAGCTGATTTCACATCGGAAGACACACCCAAAGGCTACAACAACAACTTACGGGTTCGACATGTATTCATAGGAGAGTATTATCAATAAGAAACACAGAACAGTTACTGGAAGCCTTCTGAATTCTCAAGTTCTGTAATGATCCTGATTTCCCGTGGAAACGACGTGGAGTATTTGAATTGTTGGAGCGAAACTGAACACCGGCTACTTTCTCATACACCAAAGAGATCCAATGAGGTTATTCTCTTGCCGTGAAAAGATTCATCAATCCTCAATGTAGAAGTATTAATGCTTTTCGAGTCTCTGTTTCAAGGCCACATACTGGCATTCATAGAATTGGTCCTTGGCAGCGTTGCAATACGAAGTACCCTTGTTAAGACATTCGTAGTAAGAAATGAAGTGAGCAGCACATTTATCTCTGTTCACGAATGGAACCTTGTTTGTTTCCAACTCTTCCTGAGAAGCTGTTTTGTTAGTATGAGTATCTTACTATGGTTTTGTCGGGCACAGCTGTGTCACATAAGAAATTCGTCCCAGCGAGAGATGGACAAGGAAGCTACATACGGAACGCTGGAAACTCGTACAGTTGAGCGCTTGCAGCCATATCTTCTGAGTTCTATTGGGAGGGTAATCGATGATGTCGAGCGTTTGAAGTCAATGCTATTGGATGAGGAATCAATGTCGCATTTTTTAAAACTAAATGTCGTAGGACTGCGACATTTGTGGTATTTTTGATGAATTCCGCACCAGGCGCCCAGATCGTCATGTCCGGCCTTGCTTGGGAATGAAATTGTCTGCATTGAGTGTAGTATTAACAAACAAAAAACAATCCATATCTTTGGCGACAATTACATCACTCCTGTGAGATCCCAGCCTGATTCTTTTGAAGAATATGTCTTCAAGAAAGTTCATAAACTTCGCGATCAAAAACTGCACGGTTGCAGGACAACACATTTAAATGAGAAGATAAGTCAGAACAGTACTTTGTCAAATAGCGGCCGAGGATTTTCTTTTGTGGGCCCAAGGCAAATCTTGAATATTTCATTGATTAGAAGACCATGTGTATTATTGATTTCGTGAATTGTATGAATGTCATCTACTTTCATTTGCTGTCCCAGCAGAGATCTTGTCTATCGCAAGTATTGGATTGGTGACTTCGTTGCACATCTTGTCATGATATAAAATTGTAAGCCCAATGAATATTTTTCAGAATAAATTACTTATCTTATATCTTCTGTTTCAAATGAGAATATCCTATGATAACCAGGTTTACAATGTAAGAGGCATAATTTATTATACTAAGTACCCGATCAAGCCAGTCTAGCACGCTTTCACTCTGGCTGTGAAGGGGACATCAATCATTACGATATATGGAGATGGCAATCGACAGTGCTCAAACTAACCGAATTCATATATATAATTTTACCAGGAGAAACAGAGAGGTCTGCTCAAATATAATTGATCATGGTTATATTTATGTAGAACATATACCAGTCATGAAATGATATCAGAGACTGTCTTACAAACAAAGCAATTTCGAGGCATCATTGACTTACGGGCTTGTTAAATAATCCATACTTGCAAAAACAAACCACATCAAAGACTCATGAAATATCATGTGAGTAAGATGTCGAGACAATTGTAGACGAATAAGATGTACGTGAGAGCACCGGTCGTTTATTCAGAGACAGCCAAAGACAATACTAGAAGAAAGATCGAAGACATTTGAAAGGCCTATTTTACACATGTAGCTGAAATGTATGCGAGGTTCAACTGTATGGCTTGAAAATACACATAAGTTTGCCATCTCAAAGTTCTAAAACATCCACGTCCCAAAACATTTCGCCACTATCGAAAGATGGTTACTCTGATTGACCTTAATTTGGACTTTTTTATAGTGTGCTGTTCGACCCTGTTCCACTGTCTGACTTAGTCTTTAAGAGGTCTTTTCAAAAAGAGGACAATCGTCTTCGAAATGGGGATTTGGTAGAGCGGGAAAAGACGAGAACGTGAGGTCCACTTCCCAACGAGTGACGTGTATAACGAAACCTGTATTTTGTCTAAAAATCTGTCAAAATCTTCAACTAGTGATTGAGCCACGCTAGCGATTTGTAGATCAGACATTCGATAAAATTAAAGCTCAGGTTTGTATGGTTAACGTGCTCAAGATAAAAGATTTTATAAATGCTCTTCCAAAATCTTCGCTATCTCCCCTTGCAGAAGTGCATTTAGTTTCCTACTATCTGAAGTAACTAAGTACTATTGATTCCTTCTATTAACTTAATTGTCCGTTGAGGACCCCAATTAATGCAAACTCTATCCCTTTTTTGAATAGCAAATGAAAAATATAAAAAATGAATGACATTGGAAAATGACATGAAAAGCAACGAAATAAACTTGGGTGTCGACGAGTTGAGCGTCGACATGGTCGTGAGTCATCACATTAATTTGTTAAGTATTCTGATGTTGGCACAGTGCAAAACCTAGAACTTCAACTCCTTTGGCTTTTCCCAAGAGTTCTCCTGGTTGGTGAAGTGGCCGTAGGAAGCAGTGTTGAAGTAAATTGGTCTGGCCAAGTTCAACTCCTTGACAATGACACCTGGTCTCAAGTCAAAGTTGTTTCTGATGATTTCCACCAATTGCTCGGAGGTGTACTTGGAGGTACCGTAGGTGTCGACGTGGATGGACAAAGGCTCGGCAACACCGATGGCGTAGGAGAATTGCACCAACGCTCTTCTGGCCAAGCCGGCGTTGACAAGAGACTTGGCAACCCATCTGGCGGCGTAGGCCGCAGATCTGTCGACCTTAGAGAAGTCCTTTCCAGAGAAAGCACCACCACCGTGGGCACCCCAACCACCGTAGGTGTCCACAATGATCTTTCTTCCGGTCAAACCAGCGTCACCCTGAGGACCACCGATGACGAATCTGCCGGATGGCTGGATGTGGTAGATGGTCTTGTCGTCCAACAAGTGGGCGGGGATGGTCTTCTTGATGATTTGCTCCAAGATCTTCTCTCTCAAGTCCTCGGTCGAGATGTCGTCGGCGTGCTGGGTGGAGATGACAACGGTGTCGACTCTCAAAGGCTTGACGGCACCGCCCTCCTTCTCGTACTCGACGGTGACCTGGGTCTTGGTGTCTGGTCTCAACCAGGCCAACTCGCCGGATCTTCTGGCGTCGGCCAAGGCCTTGTTCAACTTGTGCGACAACAAGATGGTCAAGGGCAACTTCTCCTCAGTCTCGTCGGTGGCGTAACCGAACATGATACCCTGGTCACCGGCACCCAACTCCTCCAAAGCCTTCTCGTAGTGCAAACCTTGGGCAATGTCTGGCGATTGCTGCTCAATGGCGACAAGCACGTTACAGGTCTTGTAGTCGAAACCCTTGTCGGAGTGGTCGTAGCCAATGTGCTTGATGGTGTCTCTAATGATTTTTTGGTAGTCCAAGTTGGCCTTGGTGGTGATCTCACCAAACACCATGATCAAACCGGTCTTGGCAGCGGTCTCACAGGCGACCTTAGACAAAGGGTCCTCGGCCAAACAGGCGTCCAAGATGGCGTCGGAGACCTGGTCACAGATCTTGTCTGGGTGGCCTTCGCCAACGGACTCGGAGGTGAAAAGAAATTTCTCGGGCATTATAGGGGTTAGTCGAAGGTGGTTCGAAAAAAGTGTGGCTCGCGACAAAAAGTTGGCCCGTGCTCAAACTTTATATAGATACACTCATGAAAAATTTTGTGCATCATCTTCACATGGGATAGACATTGTGCATGCCTGGATGCGTCAGAGCACGTGACCCACATGGTACCGGTGACATGGGGCCGGCCGCCGGGACGCTGTCAATCCGCATACGAGCGTATGTAAATATAATATATATATATATATATATATATATATATA